CGAGAAATTTAACAAAATGTGCAAAATTCTGATTTTTAAGAAAATTGTTAAACTAAAAGTTGTTTGCGATATCGATCTCTATAATTTTTGTTTTTACATAATTTTCTAAAATGGACCGTAATGGAAAAATTGGAGGAAAAGTGCCAAATTTAAATTTTTCAGTATTTTTGTTTTAAATGAATATCTATAGAAAGAGTTTTCAAGTTAGATGTATATGAAAAATTTTTATATTTAGTTTATCCTCTAAAAATTTGTAGAGGTGCTACAATAGGTTGTACAAAATAACCGGAAAAAGCGTGTAATAACTAGATAGGAAAGTCATGTGTTGGAAACATCAGATTTTTTGATTTGATTAAAGGTAAGTAATGTTTGGTGTTAAATATATAAGAGCTAGTCAAAAATTTCTTATAAGGGTTTTCAAAATTAACGAATGTTATTGCAAATTAACGCCTACTTATTACAAGTTTAGCTCAGTTTTGCCATTTTCGATAGGCGTCTAGTTTAACCTACAGTGATCAGGAAGTCTGTATGGCGCTAAGGTGGTTAACGCAGAATAAGGGCTGCTCGGGCGCCAGTTTTGGTAACACAGTTTGCTCTGCGACCCTGTAGTACACCAGGGTATTCTCAAGATGATTTCAGTGGAGTTAAAAGTATCTTCAAGCGGTTACTGCTAACGAGGTAGCCACTAAATTAAGATTAAAGACACTTATCTCCCTTAGACCTACGGTACTCTGAAATAAAACAGTTAAGAGCCGGTAATAAAAGAAGCACAAGGATTAATAACAAAATATATTTGAAGTGAAGTAACGGGGTTAGCTTTACTCGGCTTAACACAAGCGGGATTCTCGGAATTCCGGTAGCTCAGTCTTTAGTTTTGGGCAACAAATTAAACTATATTTTGTACATAAGAAAAAATAATCATATAACACTAACTTATTTAATCAACATATAATGAGAAAAAAGTTTAGCACACAAGCCGTAGGTGAATGCCGTAAAACAATCGAGAAAAACTTGATATAACACACATGGACGATTCACTTGTGTGGACGGATGAAAACTTCCGAAGAAGTTAATTAAATTGTTCTCCCTTTTTAAAATTACATGGTGTGTCAATGCTTTTTCGGACCCGGTTCACAAACAGTGTATAATTTTTTTTAGTTTGACCGGGGACATAAAAATAAATTTGTAATGACATTTTTTTTATATAAATGTAAAAGAAAAATAGCAGAGAAAATGAAAAAATAAATCAACAAAGTTTAAAAATATGTTTGTTCAATTTCATTCCATAACCTGAAACTCAAGAAATTCAAAAACAATCTAATAAAAGAAAATATAATTAGTAAAACTATTTTTAAGTTTTTTAAAAAAATAGTGAAATTGTTCAATACAGCACCAAAGTATTAAAAAATAAACTATTCAGTAAAGTAACCTGATCTAACCTAAATATAAAATATATGTAGGAAACATTACGAGAAAACGCATTATGAGAAAACACCGAAGGTATTTCTGCAGTAAGAGGAATGTGACAAGAGTTCCCTTGGCGAAGTATATATTTCTTGGTATAAAATGCACAAATGTGTTCTATTCTTGACTTTTGAAATCAGATAAAGCAAAACCCTAGAGATTGGATCGAATAACAAATGTAATAAAATATATTTTCAAGTTTGCTAAAAAATTCTAGTGGATATTCTAAAAAATGCACATAAATATATATATTAGGTACTAAATTGTTTTAGAATAGAATATTTAAGAAAGAAATAAATAAAAAAAAAGAAGTATACGAAAAATAATAAGCGGAGAAATGTAAGTGAATTTGAAAAAATAAACTATGAACGAAAGACAAATTTGACGTCAATGAAGGTAGAAAGCAAAATACTATGTACCTCAAACGAACTCCGCGGATATTAAATAATTGGATATTGGTATGATCAGAAAAGCTTATCAAGGGAATGGCTTTCTATTGTCTAACCTTTCTAGGAAATTAAAAACCAACTTAAGATCGTAATATCGTTTGTAATTGGAAAATATGTTACAAACGTGAAATTTTTGTCCGATAACATAGTGAAATGAAAACAACATAAATAATTGGGCGGACATCAAATTAACATTAAAGTGCAGACAAAAAATGAAGGAAAAAAGAAGTAAAGAATATACTCGTATAAATATCATCAGGAAATATAATGTAATACGAGTATTTAAATTTAAACATTTTGTCAAGATTATTATTTTTATTGAGCAACAGGCTTATAGTTTATAAAAATCAACATCCGTTTCCCTTAATCCTCAAACGATACGATTAATAAAAACTATTTACCATTTTTCAACTTTAATATCAATAAACTTAATAAAGAAAAAAAATTCCTAAAATTCTATAAAAAACACGATGACATATACGCATATTTAGAATTTCAACGGTTGAGGAGGCAGATTAAAATAGACATTGATAAAGCTTACAAGAACCACGTTAAAGAGCTGAAAGATGCTATTATTCAGAACCCCTAAAAATTTTAGGCATTCATTAATAAAAAAAATGTCGAAAGTAACCTTGCAAATAAAATGGTCTACAATGGTAGTGAACTAAATTCTCCTCGGTCAATTCTCAACGCATTTGCTAATTATTTTGCCAAGTCGTACCAACCTAAATATGGAAATTATCTAAAGTGTACCCTATCTTCTAAAAAAGGGAAAAATCAGATGTAGCAAACTTCAGACCAATTTCAATTATATCCAATTTCTGTAAAGTTTTTAAGATTCTACTGCATAATCATCTTTATATTAATATAAATAAATTGATTTCTCCAAAGCAGCAAGGATTTATGAAAGGACTATTACGAATTTAACAAATATTTCTCAATACATTTCTGAAGCAACTGACAAGCAATATTATGTACACAGATTTTTTTAAAGCCTTGGATAGACTTGACCACGAAATACTCTTGCAGAAATTATTAAATGTTTGTATCTCACGAGGGATTTCAACATAATATCTCAACCAGGCTTGGGCCCAGGCACTGACTTCCTCAAACATGCTTGGGTTCAGGCTACTTTCTTTTCTCTTAAGGTTTGCATGACGGCACTGAAGCCCAGATGGCTTATTGTGCCACAATTTGGATACCCTATTCCTTTCGATTCATCATACATACATACATTCATTCATCATCATTAATTGCACACCATTGATGGTTGTCGGTCCAGTGGTCAGCATCCAACACGTGAGCGCAGACATCACTGCTTCACTGCTCCGGTAACGAGAATGCAAAATAGTTTCGCAGTTAGCCTCTCCGAAAAGAATTATGTTAATAATTATATTAAGAAATATATTAAGAAATATATTTAAGAAATATATTTAAGAAATATAATAAGAAATATAATAAAAAATATAATAAGAAATATAATAAGAAATATAATAAGAAATATAATAAGAAATATTATAAGAAATATAATAAGAAATATAATAAGAAATATAATAAGAAATATAATAAGAAATATAATAAGAAATATATTAAGAACTATATTACAAAATATATTAAGAAATATATTAAGAAATATATTAAGAAATATATTAAGAAATATATTAAGAAATATATTAAGAAATATATTAAGAAATATATTAAGAAATATATTAAGAAATATATTACGAATATAGATTAAGATTTATGTTTAGAATTATGTTTAGAATTATGTTAAGAATGGTGTTACGAATTATGATAATTATGTTGAGAATTATGTTAGGAATTATGTCAGGCATATCATCTTACTTTTTGGCAAGATATAACTTCCGATTTAACTTGTTTTTGTATTTGTATTTGTTTTAGATTTTATCGAAACTGAGGTATTACTCATAATGTATATGTTGTTTTAGAATAAACTTAAATTATATTTTTACATCTTATTCATTAAGGATTTATACAAATCTTTGTATTTTAAAGTGTAGTCATAGACAAAATGTTGTGTGAAGTTATTTTGCACCCTAGTTACAAATATTCTTAATTCTTGCTCAACACCATATCTTCATACTACAATATCATATAGAAACCATTCAGTGTGACCATGTTGTTGGTACCCCTCACCTGTTAATCACACTCTCCCTGCAATTTATCCTCTTACGAGTGAACCTTTTAAGCTCTAAAGAGCTCGGACCCATCAAATCATACAACGAATCATACAAAATAATTAAAAATTCACCACATGGTTTAGTCTGGGATTCGAAGTAGATTATCGCTTAGTCACAAAAGACCTGTAAATGAATACCAGCCGCTTAATACATTGAGCTACAGAGACAATACTTTCAAAACAATACCCTAAGCGTTGTTTGAAATTGTCTACTTTTTGAAATAATAATATTTTTTTAATTTTGATATATAAAGTGAAATTTTTTTCTAATCGCAGTAAGTTTCAAAATGATCCACTTTACACATCCAGTTGCATAATTTTGAACATTATAAAACTGGTTACCAAAAATCTATTATGTTAACAGTTATCAGAAAAGAAAACAAATAAAAATAAATCTATTTCGGTTTTATAATCAGGTTGAATTATAAAAATGAAATTTGGTTGAACCTACAACCCAGTAATAATGTTGTTTTGTTACTTATTTTATATTCTAAATCAGCACAAATTAATAAAAACACAAAACACTAGAAATCGTTGAGAATAAATTATTAATATGATGTTCTATTTGTTAATAAAATGATGCATATGCAACTAACAATACAAGAAAGTAATATTGGTTACCTAGATGTCAGTAATATTTTACCAAAACAAATTTTGTAAATAATTTACGTTAAGAAATGCCGTTTTATGTAACTCGTTCATATTGCAGGACCTCGCTCTGCTCATCTTGAAAATATTTACTTGTTACATAAAATAAGGCATTTCGTAACTGGTTGCATAAATAGCTATTGTATTGAATTTATAGTTCTCGTATATACTTCCAAAAATAATATTTAAAAATCAATCATCTATAGTTTAAATTGTAATTGCAATATTTGTTGTTTCAGATTCTATGCAATCGTTATGTAAGAACCACTTTCTGCAAAATCTCTACAGGAAGATAGACGGTGCACTTCTATGGTCGCAAAATGAGAGAAATTTGGACTGCATCATTACTTTTCAGACTCATTCAATACTTCAAAGGTTTATGCTCCGTTTTGACTTTCTTCAGTTAGACTGTAATGACCACTTATATATTTATGATGGTGCTCATGCTGTAGGAACATATAAGGTAAGAGAAACAAATTAAAATGAGTAACTGACTAGGCCAAATATCAACGATTATTTTTCTAGAGGGATAGACAATATTTGGTCAAGTAAAAGAGTCGTCCCAAATATAACACAACCTTGATTAATATTCTGCTATTTTTTTTGTTACTAAATTTCTCGAATATTTTACAATTTGATTCGATATAATTTTGGCATTAATAATCAATTGATGCCAAAATTATGTCTCATCAAATCAAATTGATGTTAAAATATTCTCGAGATTTAGACGCAACAAAAATAGCTTACTATTTATGTATTATATATTATATATTACCCTTGACTTATTACTTTAAGAGACGTGTAAAGTTTTATAAATATCCCAAATCCTCTGACAAAAGAGTATCGCATTTTTAGTTACAGTTTACACGTGCCTTCTTATTTTAGTTGCGCTTTGTTGTTGCTTAGTAGCGTAAACTTTATTAAGGTGCGTGTACACGATTTCAAGAAGATTACGTTTTAGATTTTGTCTATAAATACTAGAACAATTTACCTTCGTACTTTATAAATATTTTTCCCAGCTGAACATTGGTTTTTAGCATTTTTAGAGCTTTTAAAAATAATATAAAACAGGTGCAGATTCGTGAAACAGATTATTTGTTAATAAAAGATAACAGGCACTAAAAATATTTATAGGATAACATCTACATTTTTTTAATCAATATAATTTTCTTCACAACTGGACTCTGATTCAGACTCATTATTACTTGCCGTTGTACCTAAATTAATCATTCATTAATATAACTTCTGACCAAGTCTGAAATACATCTTCCGGTAACAACTTTGTTGTTAACATTTTTTCGTGATATTGATATATATCTAGATGGAATTCTTTTCGTGGTAAATTTTGATGTACAACTTTCCAAATCTGATATTTCACACCATTGATTAGATAATTAATGTTCTTTTCCTGCAACCATTTTACCATTTTATCTTTTGTCCAACTATAACATGGAATTGGTTTCACGTACTGCAAATAATAACTGGTATTATTGATTATAATTAAATGGTCTAAGATCCGAAGTGAGGTCGACCTTCACCCATCTGTTTAATGGATGAAAGTTTCTTTTTATTAAATAAAATATGTTTATAAATATACCTCAAATGGGTTGCCTAAGAAAATACGGTACAGACTATTTATTTTCTTAAAGTAAAAAAAAAAACGAAACCCTGTAAAGTGTTCCCCAGATGCTTCGACTATGCTCAAACTTTAATCTGCTCACTGCAGGATGGATTAAAGCTTTAAGTTTAAAATTTGGTGTTTTGCTCTTCATCCATTTTTGAGTTATCTTCAAAGTTCTAAATTTACACTTTTCCTCAAATCATGTATAAGGAGAGAATAATAGAGAATGACACCATAAGCAACTTTTATCATGATTCCTATACTTTCCTTATCTGTACACAGAAAGAAAAGTAAAAAATGGCCGTGACCGTATTTTCTTAGGCAACCCATTTGTAGTATATTTAAAAACAAATTTTATTTATTATAAAAAAAACTTTTATCCATTATACAGATAGGTGAAGGTCGACCTTACTTACGGATCCTGGACTAAAAGAAGGATTTTCCAGATTAGAAATAAATTTACATTTTAACCATTTTTCAAAATTTTATGTGTTCATATTATTATGGTAATCCTCGCTTTTTGTTTGACTATGATATATGAGATCTGCATTTTTTAACCATCTCCTGTTTTTTTTACTTGCAGCAGCCATCTTGCCAACTTCTATTGTCACTTCTTTTGTTATAAATCTGCGACTCATTCATAAATACAGGCCTAAGATTACCCACTTCTCCTTGTTAAAGTTATTCAATAAAAACTGTCTGCTATTACTTCTTTTAAAGCGAATGCAAATTTTTCAAATCCATGTATTAGTTGACAGTGCAGTACATTTCATATCAGGCATTTTTCCCGAAAATCGTTTATGTAACGATTTCATTGTTACATCTTGCACCTTCGTACATCTTATATATAACTTACATAATATTAAAGAATTTACTTTTGTTTTACTTTGGCTGACTTTTTTAGACATTATTTTTACATACTCTGTATCAGAATTTGTTGGTTTACTTAGTCTATAAATAGTTTTCTGCGAAATATTTAATGCCTCTGCAGCCATTTGATTGTACCTCTTTCCAAGAGTCTCGCAAATAGATTTGTGTCTCTTAAAATAGGAAGCTACGTTCAGGATTAAAGTTTCTCATTGATCACTAGTTTCACCATTTTGTTGAATAAGTATAAAAACTTTTGAAATATCAAAATATACAAATTTTACAAATTGACAAAACAAAATTATTTTCATAACTGCCACCTGACATAATAACCATGATGTAATTAATCTACAATGTGCCAAAATCTAATAACTTTTTAATTCATCCATTTTACATTTAAACAATAAAGAAATCGAATGAACTTGAGGTATTTCCAAGACTTTACTACATAATATTCCAAAATAATTAATAAAATATTTCATCTTTTGTTAACTATCAATATTTTACTAAGGTTATCTAATATTTAACCATTCGTCATATGTTGATGTCAGGATTCTACCATTGCCCATTATGAATTACCCTGTATAATAGTCAACTGTGTTATTACTTAGGCGGTGGTACATTGGGCATGAAGGTTACCTGCTATAACATGAGTATGTAAACTGGGCGCAAGGATTTTAGGATCAGCTTAATCCTATAGGTATATTGGGCGCAGGTTGTACGGGTGTTTTCTAATATATGCGCAAGACCTCAGGACGTGATAGCTTGTCCAAAAATATGAAAAAACATTTCTATTAACTTACCCTCTAAAATGCACCATTTTCGAGATACAGGGTGTTGAAATTGAAAAAAAAAAAATGTCTACGCCACTGGAAAAAGTACGGTTTTGAGACGTCCATTGGAACCGCCAATGTTTCCACACAAAAAAGGTACTCTTGGTCATATGCTCTATAGTCGACCGTTTTCGAGAAAAATATAAATATAAAGATTTGAATTTCTAGATTTTACTTATTTATAAAATAAAATAAAAATAAAAATAAAAAAGAATTTTGCTTTAACCCGGATTTGAACCACGGACCTTTCGCACAGGAACTTTTCAGTTATACTTTCCGCCGACATCTTACAATTTATTTCTCCTTAACATTTATAACTAAAATGGTTTTTGGTAATTTAATTATAATTTACCAAAATTTAGTGTTTTATTAACGATGAATGTACACGACGAAATTACCAAAAAAAAAAAGACAAAAAGTTATCAACACTCTTTATAGTTGGCACTCAAGGCTTGCGTCTGACACACAAGGAATCGCATTTCGTGCAAGAAAAAGATGGGTATAACTTTCCGCAATGAAGGTGTCCCGGGACGTGGCGGTCCCCGGCAGTGAGTAAAGGAACTTAAAAATATCTAACCATAGACGAATAGTTTTCTACTTCGGCTTTCAAGCCTTCAACCGTTAAGAAATTTACATAAGCAGACCCGGAATTAGTATCGTTTTAGGAAGAAATTTGAAAAGTTTATTTCTAGTTTATAAATTACCTTTCTTGTCATAAAAAGTTTAAATTATAGTATGCTAAAATACAAATAAACCATTTTAACTTTCTTAGCAAAAATCAAAAAATCTGAACAAGCGCGTAAAGAAGAGAAACTTTGGAATGTACCAACTTATATAAATCAAATTGTGTATGTATATGCATATTACATATGAAAATAAGAGGTAAATTTTTATTTAGATAATTTTACTAAGTTTATGTTTTGTAAGATGTAAAAGCTAACTATTTTGGAATCAATGATACCAGGTAGAAAAAACTATTGGAATTCCATGCAAAAAACAGTCAATGGACTGGAATAGTTTTACAAAATATACCTACATACATAAAATTCAAAAACTATAAGCAGTGCCACAACAAATACCATAAAATATACCTCCCATAACCCTTTCTTACTTGATTGATATCTCTGTTTACCGTATATATATATAAAACATTGAATTTGTGTTAGATTAACGCGCATAAACTATTTTAGTCGGCTTCAACAAATTCGTGTCTATCCCTTTTTAATCCTTTATTTGAGCTATCGTCTGATTCATGTTTACGTATTATTAAAATATTAGAGGACAATAGATGATACTGGAAATTCCTAATATGATTTAATTCCGGGAATTAAATATTTTATTGTTCGTTATTAAATAACTATTTTTTAATTGGCATAGTTTATTTTTCAATTCAGCCAATAAAACTATTATTTTTGTATATGTTCTGAATTTAACAAGTATTGTAATGATTTAGGTTTATTTAATTTATTCTTATATAGGTACAATAGTAGTTTGTTCATGGCCATATCGCACGAAGACAAACTTTGAGCACGGCGCCGTTAGTGGAGTGCTCCTAAATCGTCTGAGTGTGATATGGACAATCTACTCGAGTTGTACAGCATATTTTTTCTACGACCTACTAATAAAAATCTGCAAATAGTATTAAAAATTATGTTTGGTTATTAAGATAAAATAACTTATTTAAACTTTCACTAGTTTATAAAATATAATAAACAAGAAAAAAGGCCAATGCTCTGAACTCACTACCATCGAGGTGCTTACAATTTGTTTCTTTAATACTCGTAATTAAATTTACTTTATATAGTTTTATTAAAATTAACGAAATATTTATAAAATTATAGACCAAACAAAAATAGAAATGCTATTATTATTTATCGAGTCTACACAAGAATAACTCATTTTAATGTATATTTAATCTCAATAACTAAACATTTTTTTACTGACAATTAGTTTGACAGAAATGTTACTTATTTAAAATTTTATAAATAATAGTAGTTGGTTGATCAAAATAGGAACTGTGATTGGTGGATTTTATTTTTTGTAGTGTTCATACTACCTAGAATGATGAAATATATTTGTTTAACTAAACGCAATATCATTCTTTTTCGTTTTGTACTCTATGCGTAGATAATCTAATATCCT